TGTTATTAAATGTGCTGTTATTAAAGGTACTGTTTTCAGTGGTGCTGTTATTAAAGGTACTGTTATCAGTGGTGCTGTTATTAAAGGTACTGTTATCAGTGGTGCTGTTATTAAAGGTACTGTTATCAGTGGTGCTGTTATTAAAGGTACTGCTATGAGAGGTGTTATGAGAGGTGTTATCAGAGGTGTTACCAGAGGTGCTGTTATTAAAGGTACTGTTATCAGAGGTGTTATCAGAGGTGCTGTTATTAAAGGTACTGTTATCAGAGGTGTTATTAAAGGTACTGTTATCAGAGGTGTTATTAAAGGTACTGTTATCAGAGGTGCTGTTATTAAAGGTACTGTTATCAGAGGTGCTGTTATTAAAGGTACTGTTATCAGAGGTGCTGTTATTGAAGGTACTTTTATCAGAGGTGCTGTTATTATAGGTACTGTTATCAGTGGTGCTGTTTTAAAGGTACTAAATTTTCAGAGAGCTGTTATTAAAGGTACTGTTATCAGTGGTGCTGTTATTAAAGGTACTGTTATCAGAGGTGCTGTTATTAAAGGTACTGTTATCAGTGGTGCTGTTATGAAAGGTGCTGTTATCAGAGGTATTAAAGGTACTGTTATTAAAGATGCTGTTATTAAAGGTGCTGTTATTAAAGGTACTGTTATCAGAGGTGCTGTTATCAAAGGTACTGTTATCAGAGGTGCTGTTCTTAAAGGTGCTGTTCTTAAAGGTGCTGTTCTTAAAGGTGCTGTTATTAAAGGTGCTGTTATTAAAGGTACTGTTATCAGAGGTGCTGTTATTAAAGGTACTGTTATCAGTGGTGCTGATATCAGATGTGCTGTTATTAAAGGTGCTGTTATTAAAGGTACTGTTATCAGTGGTGCTGTTATTAAAGGTACTGTTATCAGAGGTGCTGTTATTAAATGTACTGTTATCAGAGTTGCTGTTATTAAAGGTACTGTTATCAGTAGTGTTATTAAAGGTGCTGTTATCAGAGGTGCTGTTACTAAAGGTGCTGTTATTAAAGGTACTGTTATTAAAGGTGCTGTCATTAAAGGTACTGTTATCAGTGGTGCTGTTATTAAAGGTGCTGTTATTAAAGGTACTGTTATCAGAGGTGCTGTTATTAAAGGTACTGTTATCAGTGGGGCTGTTATTAAAGGGAGTTATCAGTGGTGCGTTATTAAAAAGGGACTGTTTTTCAGTGGTGCTGTTATTAAAAAGGGGCTGTTTTTTAAAGGTACGTTTTTAAAGGTGCTGTTATTAAAGGTGCTGTTATTAAAGGTGCTGTTTTTTTTTTTTTTAAGGTACTGTTATCAGTGTGCTGTTATTAAGGTATGTTATCAGAGGTGCTTTATTTAAAAGGACTGTTATCAGTGGTGCTGTTTAAAGGTACTGTTATCAGAGGTGCTGTTATTAAAGTACTGTTTTTCATGGTGCTGTTATTCAAAGGTGCTGTTATTCAAGGTGCTGTTATTAAAGGTACTTTTATCAGAGGTGCTGTTACTATAGGTACTGTTATTAAAGGTGCTGTTATTAAAGGTGCTGTTATTAAAGGTACTGTTATCAGAGGTGCTGTTATCAAAGGTACTGTTATCAGAGGTGCTGTTATTAAAGGTACTGTTATCAGTGGTGCTGTTAATAAAGGTACTGTTATCAGTGGTGCTGTTATTAAAGGTGCTGATATCAGAGGTGCTGTTATTAAAGGTACTGTTATCAGTGGTGCTGTTATTAAAGGTACTGTTTTCCAGTGGTGCTGTTATTAAAGGTGCTGATGTCAGAGGTGCTGTTATTAAAGGTGCTGATGTCAGAGGTGCTGTTATTAAAGGTACTGTTTTCCAGTGGTGCTGTTATTAAAGGTGCTGATGTCAGAGGTGCTGTTATTAAAGGTGCTGATGTCACAGGTGTTGTTATTAAAGGTGCTGTTATTAAAGGCTCTTATCAGAGGTGCTGTTATTAAAGGTGCTGTTATTAAAGGTACTGTTTTCCAGTGGTGCTGTTATTAAAGGTGCTGATATCAGAGGTGCTGTTATTAAAGGTGCTGATGTCACAGGTGCTGATATCAGAGGTGTTTTTATGAGAGGTGCTGTTATCAGAGGTGCTGTTATCAGAGGTGCTGTTATCAGAGGTGCTGTTGTTAAAGGTACTGTTATTAAAGGTACTGTTATCAGTGGTGCTGTTATTAAAGGTACTGTTATCAGTGGTGCTGTTATTAAAGGTACTGTTATCAGTGGTGCTGTTATTAAAGCTACTGTTATCAGTGGTGCTGTTATTAAAGGTACTGTTATGAGAGGTGTTATCAGAGGTGCTGTTATCAGAGGTGTTATCAGAGGTGTTACCCAAGTTTCTGTTATTAAAGTACTGTTATCAGAGGTGTTGTTATCAGAGGTGTTATCAGAGGTGTTATCAGAGGTGTTATTAATGGTACTGTTATCAGAGGTGCTGTTATTAAAGGTACTGTTATCAGAGTTGCTGTTATTAAAGGTACTCTTATCAGAGGTGCTGTTATCAGAGGTGTTATCAGAGGTGCTGTTATCAGAGGTGCTGTTATCAGAGGTGTTATCAGAAGTGTTGTTATCAGAGGTGTTATCAGAGGTGCTGTTATCAGAGGTGTTATCAGAGGTGTTATCAGAGGTGTTGCTGCTGGTAGAACACCTTTACCAATACATTTGTTAATTACCACTGAGTGTAGTTATATTGTTTCTGGCATTTTTGTTACGGGGCTTTTTAATTCCTATTTGTTTCTTGTTTTTTTAACCGATGTTTGAATATTTTAACCTAGAGCGTGGGTGTGTGTGTGTGTGGTGTGTGTGTGTGTTTGTGTGTGTGTGTGTGTGTGTGTGTGTGTGTTGTGTGTGCATGTGTGCGTGCGTGCATGTGTGCGTGCGTGCATGTGTGCGTGCGTGCATGTGTTTCGTGCGTTTGTGTGTGCGTGTGTGTGTGTGCGCGCGGGTGTGTGTGCGCGCGGGTGTGTGCGTGTGTGTGTGTGCGCGTGTATTTACTCACCTAATTGTTGTTGTACGGGTAGATTCCTAGCTCCTGGCCCTGCCTTCTCACTGGTCGCTACTAGGTCCACTCTTTCTATTCTCCATGAGTTTTATCATTCCTATTCTTAAAGTTATGTATGAATTTTGCCTCCACTACATCACTCTCCAGACTATTCCACCTCCTGACAGCTCTTACTGAGAAATACTTCCCATAAAATACGTTCTAAAGGAATAACTGGGAAAGTGGGGAGATGGATCTTCAACTTCCTGACAAATCGAACACAAAGAGTAGTGGTCAACAGAGTTAAATCGGAGGCTGTTATAGTGAAGAGCTCCGTTCCACAAGGCACAGTACTCGCCCCCATCTTATTCCTTATCCTCATATCAGACATAAACAGAGATATACACCACAGCACCGTATCATCCTTTGCGGATGATACTAGGATCTGCATGAGGCTGTCATCTGCTGAGGACGCGGTTAACCTCCAAGAAGATATAAACAAAGTTTTCCAGTGGGCAACGGTAAACAATATGATGTTCAATGAGGACAAATTCCAACTACTCCGTTATGGAAAACTGGAGGAAATAATAACTAGAACAGAGTATACTACTGACTCCGGCCATACAATAGAGCGGAAAAATAATGTAAGGGACCTGGAAGTAGTAATGTCTGAGGATCTCACTTTCAAGGATCACAACAGTGCCACGATCGCACGTGCGAAGAAAATGATAGGATGGATAATGAGAACTTTCAAAACGAGAGATGCTAAGCCCATGATGATCCTTTTCAAATCACTTGTTCTCTCTAGGCTGGAATACTGCTGTACATTAACATCTCCATTCAAAGCAGGTGAAATCGCAGATCTAGAGAGTGTACAGAGATCCTTTACTGCACGTATAAGTTCTGTCAAGCACCTTAACTACTGGGAACGCTTGGAAGCACTTGACTTGTACTCGTTGGAACGCAGGAGGGAGAGATATATCATAATCTACACTTGGAAAATCTTGGAAGGAATGGTCCCAAATCTGCACACACAAATTACTCCCTACGAAAGTAAAAGACTGGGCAGGCGATGCAAAATGCCCCCAATAAAAAGTAGGGGCGCCATTGGTACACTAAGGGAAAACACCATAAGTGTCCGGGGCCCAAAACTGTTTAACAGCCTCCCATCAAGCATTAGGGGAATTGCCAATAAACCCCTGGCTGCCTTCAAGAGAGAACTGGACAGATACCTAAAGTCAGTGCCGGATCAGCCGGGCTGTGGCTCGTACGTTGGACTGCGTGCGGCCAGCAGTAACAGCCTAGTTGATCAGGCCCTGATCCATCGGGAGGCCTGGTCATGGACCGGGCCGCGCGGGCGTTGATCCCCGGAATAACCTCCAGGTAACATCCCTGTGGCCCATAGGAGTCTTCAACTTCTCTATCCACCTTGTCAATTCCTCTCAGTATTTTATATGTCGCTATCATATCCCCCCTCTCTCCTGTTTTCCAGTGTCGTGAGGTCGATTTCCCTTAACCTCTCCTAGTAGGACAAGCCCCTTAGCTTCGGGACTAATCTCGTTGCAAACCTTTGCGCTTTCTCTTATTTCTTTACGCGTTTGGCCAGGTGTTGGTTCCAAACTGGTGCTGCATTCTCCAGTATGGACCTGACGTACATAGTGTGCAGGGTCCTGAACGATTCCTTACTGAGTTATTTGGTTGATGTGCGCCTCAGGAGATGTCTCACCCCAAGATCCTTTTCCTTGAGTGACGTTTGCAGCCTTTGTCCCTCTAGGCAGTACTCCGTCTGCGGTCTTCTTTGTCCTTCGCCGATCTTCATGACTTTACACTTGGTGGGGTTAAACTCAAGGAGCCAGTTGCTGGACCAGGCTTGTAGCCTGTCCAGTGTGTGTGTGTGTGTGTGTGTGTGTGTGTGTGTGTGTGTGTGTGTGTGTGTGTGTGTGTGTGTGTGTAATTTTAAAAATAAATTTGATACCATTACATAATGTACATAATAAGGGCAAGTTCTTCTGCCCCCCAGGACGTAAGCCTCGCCCTGGGGAGTCCTGGTGCCCGGTGTGTGGAGTGACGCTACGTACTGGGGAAGTGGATGCCCATCTCACCCACGAGCTGGACAAGCTCATCCGCCTTCCTCAGACCCGCCCACTCTCCCAGCGCACGCCCACACCCACCACCTCCACGCCCATCACCAGCAGCAGCACCACTTCCGTCACCAGCGTCGCCGCCTCCGTCAGCTCGCCCCTCAGCCCACACCCAGGGCACGCCCGCGCCCGCGACCCCGGCTGGGATGTGAGTACCACGCCTTTATTCTCTTCCTATGCTTGTGCCATAACCAACTTTATCTTACCACCACCATTAATACCACCAACGTTAATATTTCCACCACAATATTACCACCAACATTGCTACCACAACTAATACCACCACTTATAATGTCACTATTAGTACTACTGCTACCACTAATATTGCCACAGCTAACACTCCATCAAAACTAATACTACCCCTACCATTAATACCACAGTACCCCCACCATTAATACCATGGCCAATACCTCTAATAATACCACCACAACTATTACTTCCACTACCCTAATACCAAAACTACTAACATCACCACTGTTCCAGTAATACCACCACCTCCTCCCCTACCACCACCAATACCACCACTACTAACGCCACCACTAATACCACCACTACACCACTAATACCACCACTACTAACACCGCCACTCCATCACTGATACCACGATCACCTCCCATATTACCACCACTGCCACCACCCTGCCAGCACTTACATCACCACCACCAAAGCCTTATTACATCGTGGCCTTGTAAAGAGTGGTTAAGATGGGTTGTAAAGTCGCCTAAATTGTTTTTTCTCCACTTGTCTGCATGTAAATGTGAGGCAGGGAGGGAGCCACCCCCCTCCCCCCACTCCCTTCATTTTAAGTTTTTACCTTTGTGAGTGTTTCTGTCAGTCACTAGTGCTAAGTCTTGCCTTTGTGAGTGTTTCTGTCAGTCATTAGTGCTAAGTCTTACCTTTGTGAGTGTTTCTGTCAGTCACTAGTGCTAAGTCTTACCTTTGTGAGTGTTTCTGTCAGTCACTAGTGCTAAGTCTTACCTTTGTGAGTGTTTCTGTCAGTCATTAGTGCTAAGTCTTGCCTTTGTGAGTGTTTCTGTCAGTCATTAGTGCTAAGTCTTGCCTTTGTGAGTGTTTCTGTCAGTCACTAGTGCTAAGTCTTTGCCTTTGTGAGTGTTTTGTCATGTCATTAGTGCTAAGTCTTGCCTTTGTGAGTGTTTCTGTCAGTCATTAGTGCTAAGTCTTGCCTTTGTGAGTGTTTCTGTCAGTCACTAGTGCTAAGTCTTGCCTTTGTGAGTGTTTCTGTCAGTCATTAGTGCTAAGTCTTGCCTTTGTGAGTGTTTCTGTCAGTCACTAGTGCTAAGTCTTCCTTTGTGAGTGTTTCTGTCAGTCATTAGTGCTAAATCTTGCCTTTGTGAGTGTTTCTGTCAGTCATAGTGCTAAGTCTTACCTTTGTGAGTGTTTCTGTCAGTCATTAGTGCTAAGTCTTGCCTTTGTGAGTGTTTCTGTCAGTCACTAGTGCTAAGTCTTGCCTTTGTGAGTGTTTGTCAGTCATTAGTGCTAAGTCTTGCCTTTGTGAGTGTTTCTGTCAGTCATTAGTGCTAAGTCTTGCCTTTGTGAGTGTTTCTGTCAGTCACTAGTGCTAAGTCTTGCCTTTGTGAGTGTTTCTGTCAGTCATTAGTGCTAAGTCTTACCTTTGTGAGTGTTTCTGTCAGTCACTAGTGCTAAGTCTTGCCTTTGTGAGTGTTTCTGTCAGTCATTAGTGCTAAGTCTTCCTTTGTGAGTGTTTTTTGTCAGTCACTAGTGCTAAGTCTTGCCTTTGTGAGTGTTTCTGTCAGTCACTAGTGCTAAGTCTTGCCTTTGTGAGTGTTTCTGTCAGTCACTAGTGCTAAGTCTTACCTTTGTGAGTGTTTCTGTCAGTCACTAGTGCTAAGTCTTACCTTGTGAGTGTTTCTGTCAGTCATAGTGCTAAGTCTTACCTTTGTGAGTGTTTCTGTCAGTCATTAGTGCTAAGTCTTCCTTTGTGAGTGTTTCTGTCAGTCATAGTGCTAAGTCTTCCTTTGTGAGTGTTTCTGTCAGTCACTAGTGCTAAGTCTTACCTTTGTGAGTGTTTCTGTCAGTCCATTAGTGCTAAGTCTTACCTTTGTGAGTGTTTCTGTTTTAGTCACTTTAGTGTCGTAAGTCTGCCTTTGTGAGTGTTTCTGTCAGTCACTAGTGCTAAGTCTTACCTTTGTGAGTGTTTCTGTCAGTTACTAGTGCTAAGTCTTACCTTTGTGAGTGTTTCTGTCAGTCATTAGTGCTAAGTCTTACCTTTGTGAGTGTTTCTGTCAGTTACTAGTGCTAAGTCTTACCTTTGTGAGTGTTTCTGTCAGTCACTAGTGCTAAGTCTTACCTTTGTGAGTGTTTCTGTCAGTTACTAGTGCTAAGTCTTACCTTTGTGAGTGTTTCTGTCAGTCATTAGTGCTAAGTCTTACCTTTGTGAGTGTTTCTGTCAGTTACTAGTGCTAAGTCTTACCTTTGTGAGTGTTTCTGTCAGTCACTAGTGCTAAGTCTTGCCTTTGTGAGTGTTTCTGTCAGTCACTAGTGCTAAGTCTTACCTTTGTGAGTGTTTCTGTCAGTCACTAGTGCTAAGTCTTGCCTTTGTGAGTGTTTCTGTCAGTTACTAGTGCTAAGTCTTACCTTTGTGAGTGTTTCTGTCAGTCACTAGTGCTAAGTCTTACCTTTGTGAGTGTTTCTGTCAGTCACTAGTGCTAAGTCTTACCTTTGTGAGTGTTTCTGTCAGTACTAGTGCTAAGTCTTCCTTTGTGAGTGTTTCTGTCAGTCACTAGTGCTAAGTCTTACCTTTGTGAGTGTTTCTGTCAGTCACTAGTGCTAAGTCTTACCTTTGTGAGTGTTTCTGTCAGTCACTAGTGCTAAGTCTTACCTTTGTGAGTGTTTCTGTCAGTCACTAGTGCTAAGTCTTACCTTTGTGAGTGTTTCTGTCAGTCACTAGTGCTAAGTCTTACCTTTGTGAGTGCGTCCGTTCGTTGTTAGTCTTAAGTGCCTCACTCTAGTATCAACAGTGTACACACGACTAATCTCTCGTATATTTCCTAACGTTTGTGTGAGGAGTTCCTTGGACGTGTGGTGACACGACTTTTGATTGCCCGGATAACGGGGGAGAAGGGGAAAGGGTGAACATCAAGAGAAAAATCAATGGTTTACCTGGAGAGGGTTTCGGGGGTCAACGCCCCCGCGACCCGGTCTAAGACCAGGCCTCATGGTGGATCAGGGTCTGGTCAACCAGGCTGTTACTGCTGGCCGCACGCAAGCTGACGTACGAACCACAGCCGTGGTACAAGATGTCAAGTTGAGAATTAGTAAATATGGCCAAACGTGCTCCTGTTAGCTTTTTTTTTAGGATCTAGTTCCTGGCGCTTTTGTGCGTCCACAAGTGCTTGTACTACCGTCCATAGGGTGAATATGAGGTGTACAGTAACCTAAAAATTTCGGCGGGTAAATCTAACATATCTTCTTTCACTGGAATACATCGAAGTATTGTGTAAATGTATGTACGTAAACATAGATACACCAGGTGATGGAAGTGTGGAACAAGTGTTTAGCTGGATGTCAGGAGACGAGCCCAGAGCCAGGCTCAGGAGTCAACAAA